GCATTCACGGGCGTATGTATGTGTATTTCTAAATCGAGTAATCAATAATCATGAATTAGAATATTTATTGTATTCATAAATCACCAATTTTATACAATTATACAATAATTATAGTTATCGTGCAAACTCTTATGATCATAGATTTTTTTCTTGTTATTTTTTGTACGTTATTACGTAAGCACAACGATCCCAAATTAAAACTCAGTTAGCCAATCACGACTTGTAAATCATGGATAACATCGATATTGAATTAGGTGATTACAAATATCTCTGTTGAAGCAAACGATTGACTGAAACGTGTCCATACGCAGGCATAAAATAGTGTTATGGGCAAATCCGACCCTAGGACCATGAGGAACCATTGCGTAACAACGATGCCCTGACCCAGGAAAATCCAGGTTCCCCATTTAGTGACAGCGCCGATCCCATTGAGAAAAAGCGACCTGCCCGATTTGGAAGACATCTGTCAAGGTAATATTACCTTGACAGGTAAAGTCTGTGGTGTCGTCATATGCTGGGTTTTGTGTCGTTGTGAGAAGAATGAAAATTCAATGAGAAAAGGTGTCAAAGACGTATTCGAATTCCCTTTCTTTTTCCTTTTTAATTTTTTTTAAATACGGATTAGATTTCTCTCTTGTAATGCACATTTTAACCCTGTAACCGTTGAACCTTTAGATAGGCCCGACCTAATTATAAAAAAACATAATAAAGTTTTAACTTGTGTTCCAAAACAAAGAGACCAAAATAAAACTAAAACAATACTTTCCTTAAAAAACCCTTTACTTACATCCGAATTCCCTTTTAACGCTCTCAAAAGCCGCCTTAAACAGTGCCAAATCGTAACCGCGTCGCTCTGCTTTCGAGTAACGTTACGCGACGCCAGCAATTCCGTAGCGACAATTCGTCGCATTTCTTCCTTTTCCTAGTGGTTCCGTCCCGTAACAATAGTAAAATGCTGCATACCAAAATTGATACGTAATACAAGTGGAATCTTGTGTAAAACAAGTAATAACCTGATAAATATGGCAATCTAAATGCCGGCACTAAATAGTAAGGACCCGTGTTCAAATCAATGACTAGACAAGAAAATTTTAAACACACTTAAAACACATGCATGATATCGATGCAAAAACTTTATATAGTGCATAAATACAGAATCATGAGATAAAGTCATAAGGATTGATCATTCAATTAAATGCCCAAAATTGCACACTTCACTTAACTTGCATGTAAACCATACTCTACGTACTTTGTACTTCGTTCCTGGTATACGTAAAATATAATGCTGATAAGAAATGTAAACGGATGCAAACTATGCATAAATAATCGTATATAATTTACAAAATACATGTGCATTGTGAATTGTACAGGGGTTGAATCGCCACCCAAAAATTTTTCAAATATCCTAACGTAACATGATCAGAAAAATTCAAAACAAACATTCATTTTGTCAAAAATCACCTATAACTCAAAATTTAGTCCCTTAAACCGCCTTCTATGCACTAGTAAATTTTTTTCTTGCAAAATTTTGTTATAAGTAACACTTTCAAGTATTAATTTAATAACAAATTACAGACCTTAATCTAATAAAGTAAATTTCTCTTTGAAAAAAATTTGGATGGAGTATTAGCCAATTAGTTTTTTGCCATTCAGTTAAGTTGTAATTTTGGGAATAAATTACAAACTTGTACGTATACATGTACGATGCAAGAAATCTAAAAACCGCAATAACATTTTATAAAGACAAAATAAAAACAATGAAATTAAATACTTAAATTTATTGAAATCGTTAATTTATTTTTAATATGTAACTTGATTCAGAGTACCTTTATGTCCTGCAAATTCAAACCTTCGAGCAATATTTAGATAAATAAATATTACTCCTTTTATTTACCTATTGTATAAAAAAACGACACTATATGTAAAATTTTATTCTAAAAATCTTTACTTAGAGTCGAAAGCAGGTTATCATAGTAAAATTTTGTGTTAGCTATGGTTTGTTGTTTTTTTTTCTTTGTTTTATTACACGAAGATCGTTATTTTATTTGTTACGATCTATATGGAGACATAAAAGGCATAAGGTTACTCCTTGATTACAGATCATGCTAAGCAGATAATCATGTAACACATTAAATTTCATATTTCTTAAATTATCGACTTCAATAAAAGTATTGATTACACATGATTTCAATGTTTGTATTTTGTCTTTATAAAGCATAATTGGGTTTTTAGATCTCCTGCACTGTACGAACGTACGTTTGTTCTAGCATTTTCCATTTTTTCTTTCTTGCTTTTTTTTTACTTTTTTTATTTTTCTTTAGTTCGCAAATTCCTTATTTAGTAACGCTCGACATAGAACATTTTCGTAGTGTTAGCCCCGGAACACGTGATCCACGAGTAACCAATTTCGTAATGAGATAATCAAGTTACTCTTAAGGTCTCTTGATATATTTGTATTAAGGCCGCTTGCAATTGAATTTTCGGTTAACATCACTTTTAGAACTCTTGGGTTATAAAATTAAACAAACATATAAAATGAGACATTTGATTGGACGATGTAAATCAAGAGATTGGCGAGAGTTATCCAGCGTTTTGATTGGTTGGTCATTTCTCGGGGGAGCCTTCAGCTGGGTGGTGATGTTAACCGAAGAATCAACTTCAAACAGTCTAACCGTGCTTTATTTTATATATAAAAAATTTTATTTAAAACATATTCAATAAACTTTGTTAAAATTTTTTTAAAATTATTAAATTTTTTTTAAATAATAAAAATTTAAAATTTTTATTTAAAGATTCTTATTATAAGATTTTTATAATTTTTTAAAACTTTATATATTTTTAATTATAAAAAAATCTTTTACTCCTAATACAAGTTCAAATTTTTATATGTAAATTATAAAAATTTTATTAATAAAGATTATTATTCTTTGTATAAATAATAATAATATTAAAATCTAAAAGCTTAAAACTTTATAAAGTTTGTCTAAATATTAAAAATAAATTTTGATCAAAAATAATTTTTTAAAAAAATTTATTTATTTTTAATAATAGAAACTTAAGTTTTTTCTTTATAATATAAAATTAAATACTGCTATAATATAATCTTTATTTTAAATTACTATTAAAAAAGATTATTTAAATATTTTAAATTTTTAAAAAAATAGATCAGAAATAAGATTATAAAAAAAAAATTAGAAACAAATTTGTCTCAAATTTGTATACTGTTTAAGAAATAAATATAATATACATTAGTATAATTAAATAAAGTAGATTCTATTATTACAAACACATTGTATTAAAGATTCTTTTACAAGTGACTGTAAAAAATTATTGTTAAAATAAATACTCACTTGTAAAACAGTAATAAATCCTATCCTGTTTTCCTGACAGTAGTTTTAGTAACAATGCAGTAATAGTTTCAATGTAGTGTAGACTATCTTGGATAAACCTAACCCAAATTGAACCCACTTACCAAATCTACACACCTTTTTCACCGAAAATGTTCAACTATTACATGAAGTTGATCTTAAATTAACAACAGACTCACCTATTTAAGGCATCTCAGTAGTATATAATATTTTACTTCAAAAATAGATAGTAAACATATTAGATATAGTAATATGTTAGGTATAGCTAACATATTAAACATGTTAGATATACGTAGTTACTACATTAAGCAAAATTGATATGTTAGCTATATCCTAAATGCAGAAAATGTATTTAGTATGAAAAAGATATCACTAAATACGTTTTCTGTAAATTGTAAAATCGTTCACTGTACTAGTTAAACAAAGAAAAAGAGCATCAGTTAGTAAACAGGCCCCTTATATATTAATTACGAAACTCAGTTAAAAATCAATACCCAAGTAATTACCCTGGAACTATCCTCGTGACAACGTGAACAATGTATTAGTAAAATAGTAATAAATCGGCTATACTACACAAAAGAAAGTAAAAAAAATACTTAGCTTAAACTAACACTATCGTTGTTAACCCTCTTAACCCTGGTTACTCGGACCAAGTCTTTCCACGCCTCAATCCTAGCCTTACCAATGTTAGGGTTGGGTTATTCTAGTTATAGAGTTATTGGTAGAGTAGTTTAGTTAGTGTAATAGTTTATAATGAGTTATTCTATCAACCCCACAAGTTTTCGTCCAGCTTGCACTTTCTCAACGTAACATATAACTTTTACGTTTACTAAAACACTAGAACATGATTATTACACCTGCATTGCAAAGTTTTTACAGCACTACTATACTTTATGTGCTAACTCTATGAATATTTCGGTCATCATTATTTACATAACAAAAATTACATGCCAAAAGCTTACACGTGAAAATTATGTAAATTGATTTCTTAAGCATATTTTTAAGAAATAAGCATCTTTTAATAAAGTGAACGAATTTCTTGATTGTGTTACGCCCGAACTTGAAATGAGTCCACCAAGAAAAAAACCTGTAATTCTTGATTTTCGGAAGTTTCTCTTTCAAAAACAGGCTTATGCAGCTCGTTTCTGTAAATGAAAATTCCGAAATTTCTCTTGCAGCACTCAAATAAGATTTATATGCGCCAGGCAAAATCACATGTTGATGATGTTTTGGTGACAGTAATAAGTGCTATATCGAATAGGCGTTTCCAAAATTAATTAAATAAAAACAGAAAAATAGCTATAATAATCTGACTAAAGTTGATGGTGAAATTAAAGTAAGTTAGTGAAACTGGTGACTATCTAAAATCTGATTGGTTGCTTTACTAAAACAGCTAATCAACTTTTAGATAGTCACCATTTCACAAACTTAATCTAGTTCCACCAGTAACTCTAGGCGTAACTTTAAAAAATCTGTAATACACCGTCAAGTTTAGCCTGCCAAATTTAGAACAATTAAACTTTACTGATTGATGCCAAAATGGAATTTTCGACTCTATAAAATGTAATTAGAAAAATTTTCAAAAATGAACTAAATCTTACATCTAGAAAAAAGATACATTTAGACACGACCATGAATGAAAATAAATTAAGTAATTCTATGGATGACTTCTGTAAACGTATGGACCAATGGAATCAGGGTGAAGGTGAACCCCCTCGTCATGCATTTAGTTTAGGACAACTTTTATTAAAGGAAAATCCAAATTCTAGAGGAGTAGATGGAGCTACTCGTGGTATATTTCTTATTGGCGATCAGAGTTCATCGAAATCTACTACTGTAAACAGTATTATACAACAAGTAGCATTACAAATTGGTAATAATACTGTCACTAAAATTAGAACTTGGATTGATCATCGATACGATCCCGAATTGGAAAAAGAAGCAAAATATGACTTGCTGATAGAAGAACATGATAAGCCAGAAAAACCCGTAACGCTTCTTCATAATCGCAGCTTACAGGATTTAACCATTGAATTTACAAAACTTAACGCCAACAATATGGATGATAAAAGAGATGCTCGAATTATTATCCACTCCAACATTCCATCTTTTGCGATAGATTGCTGTGATAATCCGGGATTGACACCAACCAATCAAGATATAGAAAATATTACTGATAGTATTACTAAACGTACATTAAATAAAGTGATAGAACGTCAAAAATTGCAAAATGATAGTATAGTACTTTTGTGTATCTCAGCAACAAAAGTTGAAAGTCCATCATGGACTCGACATATGGATTTAATTGAACAACTTGATGGCAAGAATTTAATTGTCCTTGTTACAAGGATGGATTTGCTTAACATTAGCGAAGTCTCTCAAGAGATAAGAACTAATAAAGAATTCATAAAAACGTTAACGGGTAATAGTTTTGATATTCAAGAAAATAATAATGATTTCGGACCTCTTCGCTGTAGTTCATGGGATATCCTCCAATATCTTCGTACAAAAATTGAATTTCAAGCTGAGCCTCGTCATTTTCCAGATGGTGTGCAGTTTCATTACGCGGCTTCCAGCAGCGAAAGTTGGGATGATTTGTTGAAGCATGGATGGGATGCATTTAAGGAATCAGAAGCCAAAAACAATGAAAAGATGCACGAAATTCTTTGCAGCAATAAAGATGAATGGAAAAAGAATGGTATTGAATTAATTGAGATGAATGATAAACAAATTGAATTCGAAAATTCGGTTGGGATGGCAAAATTGCGAAAAAAATTACTCGATACATTACATATACATATTGTGAAAGCTGCAAAAGAACTTATGAACTATACATCCGAATGGCAATCTAATAAGATAAGGGAACTAGATAAAATGGTAAAAAGTATTAAATCTTTTAAAGATCGATCAGAATTGATAACTTCGTTCTGCAAAGAGTTTATAGTAGTATTTCAGACACTTTTTGCTTCACCACTATATACTCCAACTATTCATTCTAACCATCGGTTAAAAAAATTTGGAAATGAAATCAAAAAGGCGCGAGAAACTAGAATAGAATATGGTTGGTCTTTACATGATATGTGGAAAATTTTCGAGGCTCTTAGAGGCACTAGCGGATTTGCAGAATTTCCGCCTCAAGAATTTTGCGATGCAAATTTTCAAAACTACATTGACAACATTGAGAATTATATCAATTCGGCTGATGTTCATTTAAATACTGCACAGATGTTAATACAGAGGTTAACACAAGAGTATACATTGAGGTCATCTCTTATCAATTTACAAAAACCTGATGCTAAAAAGTTCGTTTCACGTCAGGTACAAGCTTCAACAGCAACCCAGTTAAGTTTTGGCCCTGCAGTCGATCAAAAAATTAGCGAAGATTATGGTAAAATTTTCTGCATACATGATAAATATGAACAAGAAAATACTAGCGGTGATACAGAAAATTTTATCGAAATGCAAGGGGGAAACCAATGGGTGTCTGTTTTTGGAGCATTGTGCCTATTGTTGCATGCAGAATACACCATTCGTATCATGCGTGACACGGAATTTTCTTTTCTGTTACGATTGCAAAACGAAGATCCGATGCAAGGTATTTTGGTATCAAAATTTAAGCAATATTGGGTATTGAGAAAGGAAATTAAGGAAAATTCGGTAGACCAGCAAAGTACAGCGAAGCAAATTGCAAAAATTATGGAGTCGACAGGAAAATCAAATTTTAAGAAAACTAAATTGACTAAAGTATCACCAATTGATGATATATCATGGGCAATCTATGCCATGTTCTTCGAGAAACCATATCGTCATTTAAAAAAAACATTAGACGAACGTACTGATTTATTAGTCATGACGCATGCTACGTCACTTGTTCATTGTTATCAGTTAAGCGGCATCTGTGTGCATCGAGACGAAGATTATCTGATGAAATGGGCAGTAGATAATCCGAATTCCGCATATGGAAGGGCATTCGTGGTTACTGAACAGGACGTAATAGATTTTGTGAAACCTTCGCCCGAAGAAAATGTGTCAAATAGCGATGAGACACAGCAAGTTGCAGATCCTCCAAATAGCAAGACTTTTCATAATTTAACAATGGATAATTTTAAAACGTTTCAAAAAGGAAAAAAAAATGACAAGGAGTCACAGACTAATTCAGCAGGAGAAACAAAAAATAAGCCCTTGATTTTTTCAACTCTGTCGGAAACAATGACTGATAGAATCAGAAATTTTATGAAAGGAAAATCTCCAGATCGGGTAGACATGGTAAAGTTATTTATAGATCTTGCTGATATGGGCAGAAATCCAGACACATTTGATGAACCCGAAAGCAAGACTAATCTTTCTGAAAAAGAAGAAAATGCTGTTGACTATGTATATAGGCGCCGTTTGACTATGGGAATTTCAAGCAGTATCACTGATGTTATACAACAGCTTTCTAAGATGCAGTACGAATTCAGCCACCAACAGACTGCCGATATTCTAAAATGTGAGCTACTTGGCCGCGTCGCATCTTTGTTGCTTGGTTATGGGTATCCATATCATCCCGACGAACGCCCTTCATCCAAATGGTATCTCTCACCAGAAGTAGTTATACAATTTCTTATTAAAAATCAATCAGTTTTTGAAAGCGAGTCGAAATCAGAAAGCAACTGGAACTTTTTACTTAATCCTCGGATATTAGAGTCACCGCTTGTTAAGCGCATTATTAGTTTGAGTTTAGACGATGATGTTTCCACAAAAAATCTCATTAACGGTTATGACTTAAAAACAGTGTCATATCATATCAAACGGCTTCATATGGCAAAAGCTGAAGATTTGGATGCATATATTATTGAATTCCTTGCCGACGATCGGTTTAATTGGCAGCAAGATGAAGAAAACCTAGAAATAAAAATAAAGGATCTAAAAGATACGATAAATAAATACAAGAAATGGAATCATTATCTTGAAGCTTATAATAAAGTTGCAGTTGCAATTTTTGAAGACAAAAAGGAAGATATAGGAGATATAAAACCCGATATAGATTTTGATGAGAAAGATGATAATGAAAATGATGATAGTGATGAAAATGATGGTAATGATGACAGTGAATATGAAGATAGTGAAGAAGATAGCAAATAGAGGTCGGTTAACATGTTTAGGATTGGTATACCTAAATTTATATGCAACCTTATTTGAAAATAAATCTAAAATTTTATTTTTTTTAAAACCAGTCACATGTTCACGTGATTAAACCGATCAAATGGCTATCGTTTCGGACTCTCTTAAATACGCTAAGCCTGTTTTTTTTTTGATACTCCTAAGATGTAACCTAAAATTTATCTACTTTTTGATTCTGATGCCACGTGCATGTTACATAACATTCTTTAAAGAACGGCCCACATGGGTTTAAAAAATAACTCGCTTGCACTATCGGTGAATAAAATTGACTAAGGTTTTAAAAATTTTGATAACAAAGATTATACGTATATATATATTTAAAAGATTATTTATATAATGAGTTTTTCTTTAAAAAATTCTATTCACTCAATAACCGTTTTAAATATACATTAATTTATGTTAAAGGTCTGAACCGGTTAATAAAATTCGGATATAAATTCGGGTTAGCAGATTTAATATTATAGCTGTTCTCATAAATTCTGGGACAATTGATAAAAATTGATCTGCCGAATTCGGCAGATCAAATTTTTATTAGTTGTCCCAGAATTTATGAGAACAGCTGTAAATCGCTTTTACAAATCTTAATTTGGTTGTAAAATTCAGACAAACCGGTTTTAAAAAGTTTTATTTCTAGCATATTACAGTAAAACCTCCATAAGTGCACGCTCTTTGGACCGAACTTTAACGACGTGCGCTTAAAGAACAATAAGAAAAGTGCATTTATGGAGGTCATGTATATATTTGGACCTGAATTTTTAAGTGTGCATTTAGAAAGGGTGTGCACTTATAAAGGATGCCAGTATCACCAACAAATTTTACAACTACCCAAGAACACCTAAGTGCATCTGAATGCATCTATTTGTGTATCAACACTTGATTGTCGATTCTTTTAAGAATTAGGGTTAGTGTACCCATATTAAGGTTAGAATAAATGGTTTTTATAAGTAAATTTGCCTTTCCAATGCTTTTAATTAATGTTTCATAGGTTCAGACAACCATTTCCTATATTTTTTGCAAGTTTCATTTTTTCATTTTGTTTTGGTTTGTCAGGCTGAGCAAGGAGTAGAAAAATAGGATGCTTAATTGTGATAAAATAAATAAGTCAATGTAGTTGACATTAAAATTAAATGAATTGGAAAAGACTAGTGATGGGCAATGCACATGAAATTATAGAATCATGTGCATGATTTTTATAATGCCGGCGAAGCAATATAATGCTGGTAGATAATATGAGTCAGAAATTTTCAATTGATTCCAGAATATTCTGAAAACTCATAAAGATTCCGAAAAATTCCCATGCGCATGAAATGTGAAAAAATTGGAATTTGCACATCACTAGAAAAGACTTTCAAGAAATTGGATAAAAATTATAGATAATATATTAATAGTACATGAATTAACAACTCTGTAAGAGTTAAGATAGCAACCTGTACAGAATAAATATTGAATTAATAGAAGAAGTTAATAATAGAGAATTAATATTTGTTTGTTTGTATGTAATAAATGTTTAGTTAGTATTTTGAAGTATCTACAGATTTTACCAATAATAATAATATTAATATTATATATTAGTAAACAAGATTTGAGTTTTTTGAAATATGTTAAGAGTTGAAAGTAAAAGCATTAATTAGCAATTATATTATTTTCTAAATAAGTAAACCAAAATAGTTTTCAATTTTTAAATAGTTGTACTAAATGGAATACTTATTGCTTTTCTAACAATTAATAATTCTAAATGATTTTTATAACCTTTAATCTCTATAAATTTATTTTTTAGATAAATGATTGATATAGTTGTAAATTATATTACTATATCATATTGATTATTTTTTGCTATATGTTTTTTGATTTAACATTATAAATTATATTATAGTGTTATATTAATTATCTCTGCTATATGTTTTTAAAATCATATTTTTACAACTTCTAATTATATATAACAAATGCAATTAATTTTTTTCTAATTTGATAATAAATTCTCAGATGGTCAAAGTTTTATTCAAGTTCTACAATATCATATATATATTTTTTTTAATATCAATTTTATACTGATCATTATATTATATATTAAAATACTATAATAAATTTCTTAGTATATTTTTTTTAAAAATAAAAAAAAAATTTTATTTATTTATTATTAAAAGTAATATTGGTATTATTAAATAAATTTATAAACATAAGATATAATTTAATATTTTAGTATTTTTTATGATAGCAAAGGATCTTCTAAACTAACACTTGACCAAATTCAAAACAAAATCAAAAGCTTTTTTTTTTTTTAAATATTAAGGTGAGTACTTGTGACCCAGGATTTTATTGATAGTATATTTGGCAATGATTGCTTTACAACCACAGAGGGTAACCATGAAGAGAGTGTACAACATGCCACTTGTACAACTTTAGTCATTGTCTAATTTAAGTAGTCCACCCAAAGGTTCTACACTAGCTGTTATACCTGGTAACCACTTGTAGGTTTCCTATTTAACCACTCTGTTTCCGTATCCACTCACCTACCTCTGTCTACCAACAACCCTGGCTGATGCCGATGAAAATATGCCATGGTCACTAAGTCTTTAAAGCAGTTCTTTAGAATCTTTGACCTTGTACTAAACCTTCCAGAATCTTCTGTATCCCATTCTTACAGCTGACCTGGTATCACTATAGTCAAGACCAACACTGGTGG